TCTCTCTCTTTCTCTCTCTCTCTCTCTCCCTCTCTCTCTCTCCCTCTCTCTCTCTCTTCTCCCGCTCTCCCCATTTCACCCATCACTAACTCACACTCACTCCTCTCTTTCTCTCCCCCCATCCCATCCAACCCACACAGGATACCGTCGATGGCTATGAGGGTCTGAACTACGCCCGTGAGGCTCTCAACCGTGTGTACCGCCCCACCGGACGTCGTACCTCCCCCGGACAGACCTGCAGAGACATCAAGATGGCCAACCCTGAGCTCAAGAACGGTGAGTTCTAGTGAAAAATGTTTCTACTATCATTGTCTGTTATTGCTCTTTTTTGTGGTCGTTTCTGCTCGGGTGGTGCTGCCTCTTTCTTTCTAACATCTCTCTGTCTCTTGCTGTTTCCCTGTCTGTGTCTCTGCCTCTGTCTCTATCTTTGCCCCTGTCTCTGTTTTTGTACATATCTCTCTAAGTCTTTGTCTGTTTCACTGCCTATGTTTCTCTGTCACTGTCTCTATCTCTGTCCCTGCATTTCTGTTCGTCTCCCTCTTTTCTGCTTCACGTACTCTCTTTCTCTTCCTCTCTCCCTTTACTTTACCCCCCCCTCTCTTTCTTTCGCTCTTTCTAAATATAGGTAAATGCTGAAAACTTACCGTTTTTCTTATTTTATCCTCAGGCGAATACTGGGTTGATCCCAACGAGGGATCTGCTGAGGATGCCATCCTTGTGTACTGCAAGTTCGACACTGAGGAGACCTGCGTGAACTCCGCTTCCAACGTCGTAAGTTGAATAAAAATGGCACACTCATACTTTACATATGCGCGCACACATACACACACATGCAATCACACATACACATACCCACACACCCATACACACAAGAACACACGTATTTTAGCGTACTGATGATAATGACGGAAAACAATAATGACAGCACTGGTATAGCGCAAATTCCCGTTCAATGCTCTTGATAAGCTACAATAAGCACTTCTGTACAAATTGTGGCCTCTGTAAAATGACAAGGTTTATGCCCCATATAGTTCTTCCGCTTACGGAAAAGTACGCTTCCTGTATACTTGAATATTTATTTCCAACCAACTGACTCATCGTATAATGGATTCTTATGTTCCTCGTATTCACAGTTCAAGGGACAGAGATGGACCAAGAACACCAGCCCAGGACAATACTTCATGGAGGAGCTGAACAACGGCAAGGAGGTAATGCATCCTGCCTTCACTTAACTCTCTGAAGACACACTTGTTGGTCATCCTCTTCTTCCCGTCCATCTTTAAATGGACATCTCAGTCTTCAGTGGAAATGCTTCTGTTCGTCACATTTCCTCCAGATCCCCACAGAGTTTGGGGGTCACTCTGCCTACAATTGGGCCAATATTTCTTTCTAAAAAAGGGCAGACACGAACGTGCATACTCTGACATATATATTTCTATGTTCTTGATTTGTGGATGATAGTTCTAAATGTTCCACAACATGGCTGTAGGTCCGCAAATGAATTCTTTTCACAATATCAAAGGAGAAAATAATCTAACATGTGTCTGCATGTCCTTGCTTATACCTAAAAGACCAGTTTTCAAAGAGCGGGTGGGGGATCATACTTCTTTTCTTTCCCTCTGCTATTTCTGTCTATCTGACCTACTCTGTTACTTGCTCTGAAAGACCTGCTATCGTGTCAATGTGCCTCTCTTTAACCCAACTTAAACTCAAAGTCGAAACACGTGCAAAACGCTCTTAAATCCCTATTCTTGTTTCTACTGATCTCAGTTTTCTCCACAACCAGTCTACATCCGCACTGTTTCTTTCTTTCCACAGTTCTTCTACAAGACCGACTCCCAGCAACTCAGATTCCTGCAGCTTCTGTCCAGCGGTGCCCGCCAGACCATCACCTACTCCTGCCTGAACTCCAGCCCCTTCGGCTCTCGTCTGACCTCCATCAATGGCGATGACCTCGACACTTCCGTCAACCGCCACAAGAGAACCACCTTTATCGATGTCGTCGACGACTGCGTAAGTAGCTCTGTTTTATTTGCGCATCAATGGTATCATTATAGGCTTGTTGAACATGTAAAATATCCTTAACCATGCATTGTGACGGTTGAGAGTGGAGCTCTGGACTCTAATAATTAAATCATATTATTTGCACCTCTACGTCATTTTATGCTCTCTCTCTCTCTCCTACCCCTTCTGTCTCTCTTCTGCTCTCACTCTCTTTCACCCTGTCTCCATCTTTCTCTCTCTATCCGTCTCTCTGATTTTTGAAACCCAGTCTATCTGTCTCTCCCTTACACCTCTTTCCCTCCCATTATCCACCAATAGCTCACTCACTCCCTCCTCTCGTCCTCTCTCCTGTCACTCACAAATAATGATCTCCCTCCCTCCTTTCTTTCTTCGCTCCTCCTCTCTACTCCCCGTAACCTCCCTCTCTTCTTTCTTCCTTCCCTCCTTTTTCCCCACCCACAACTCACTCCCTCCTTCTGTTCCTCCCCACAGTCCAAGGACAACCAATGGCACGAGGCTGTCTTCCATGTCCGCACCAACAAGACCGACGTGCTGCCAGTTGTCGACATGCTGCTCTTCGATGTCGGTATGGAGAACCAGCAATTCGGAGTTGAGGTCGGCATGGCTTGCTTCAGCTAAGCGCTTTAACTCGTCAAAACCAGAGATGCAATTTACAAAATTCAAATCGCTGAAAGAATCTCAGAAGATGAGAAATATTATATGTTCTTTTTAGATCACTTCAAGATAATGCCAGTCAATTTCTTATAAAGAAAGAGACTCCTGTTTGTTTCCTGTTCGTAAAAGTCTATTATGCTGTTGTGTTAATTTCTGAAAAGCTCTGCATTGACAGATGACCGTGTGAAAGTAGAGAGAGAGGATTCTTACCATCTTTCCATTTCATTTTATGAATGAAAGGAGGACAGCAAGAAACCATTTGAGTCAATTGAAATTGCATTATCTTTGAATACCATTATTGTTTTGTATCATTTTTTTTGTGTGGTTTCAATCATCGGTGATCCGAAGAGGTGCCTTATCAAAATCCGTCCATCACTATATGTTAATGCAACCATGTGTGTTTTCCATTAACTCCATGGCGTATGTGATTCGTCCTTGTTGTTGTCGTCAATGTTTTTGTCCTCGTCTTGTCTCCTACAAAACAAGAGCAGCTATAAATTTTTGCCTTCCAGCGATCAAATTTTTCCAAGATGAATTTTCATCTGTTGGTCATACAGCCAGCGTTTTGCCATCACGTGTGTTTTAAATTTCCCTAATATTGCACTAACATACGTAGTGTTCATTGCCTTTCATTTTTACAAATCGAAGACAAGAAATTTTCACTTACTAACTAAAAGATCGCAGCTTAGAATGAAGTGTAGGTTTTGGCTTTGCCCGCTGAATCAGACACCGAACGGAAGTGTAGTGACACTAGATCACCAAAGACTATACAGATTAACTCATAACCTCGTATATTGAGGTATACAATGATTGTTCTTTGTGTTATGTGCAATTGCTCGTTACCAAAGGAAGAGTGAAAGTATTGTAATAATTTTCAGCTGTATTTTCACATGGTTTTGTTCTTTTCTTTTGAATGTCGTGTTTCAATAAGTTGGTAAAAATTCAGTTATCGCTTTTTGCTTTGTTTTGTTTCTGATTCCTGTAAAACTGCTTTGTTCTGTTACTTGGGGCAAAGGGCCTTCTCTTTTAAGAAATGCGTCATTTAATATTCTCGTTCTCATTTCTGTTTGAGTGTGTGTCGCGTCTCTTGACACTACGAGGAGACTGCTAGACCCTACAGCACACCGCGAGCGAGCTAGCCTACCGAGTTTTATCACGAAAGAAACCAAACATGCTGCCAACTGTGATTCGATATTTTTTTTCAGTATAAGATATTTTATTTCATATGCTCAGTTTGTCTAGAGCAACGGTGTTCTGTAGGCTGTGCCAACAATGCGAGGACACTATCCACACGGTGCCCGCACAACTCAAAGCTGTCTCCTCTTGGAGATCGAGGATAGACTAGTGACGTCAGTTCTTAGAAAAGCTGATGCTGCTTTGGTCACAATAGTAGTGCTAGTTCCGGAAGTATATTGGAAGAATACGTGAGATGGGTAGCTTGTACTGTCTTGAATATATAATAATGTATCGTAACACAAGTATTTGTATTCTGCTAAGCGTAAGAAAAAAGAAAAGAATATGGTGTTCATTGAAACATGTACAATACGTTCGCTAAGAATGCCAGAGAATGAATGTATCGCCTCTGTCACAAGTTGATGCTCTTGAGAGACATGACAAAGACCACCAAGCCAGTGCATTTTGCCATCAGTTACCACCGTGTTGTCATGAACATCAATAAACAAAAGTAATTTCCAAAGAAGACTATTACATTATGTGTTGCCTGTATACGACAATGTACCACAACATCCACCCTTTTCGAAAAAAACCCCCGTGGGAATGACTGGAGGCCGCAGTTGATAGGTCATACTTTTTCTATCCTCTCCCTCTGTTATTTCTGTCTGTGAGGGTGGGTGGTTGGAAGGCGTAACTGATTGGTTCTTCTTTCTGTTCTTGCCCTCTGTTGTTTATGTCTGCCCGTCTGTCCTGTAGTAAAGTGTTGTTATTGTGTTTCTTACCTCTACTTCCCCCAAACCGAGCCTTTTCATGTCTATCTACACTTGCACCAAAAATAAACACATAACACAAGGACAGTCACGTAATGCCAGATCGACGATAGTAAGACACCAGATAGAAGAAGTAGACAGCTGGAAAATGTGATCTGCCTCTATTGGGTGCAGACAATAAACTGCAGATCTTTTTATGTTACAGACCTAATTTGCACATTTAAAAAAACAACTCAGTTTAACATAGGTTCAGCGTCCCTTTACGGCACCATAGTAATCTAAGTAGACGGGAACTCAAAACTACCGTCCTTAGTTTAGTTTAAGTAAGAGTTTTACGACACCCGAAACTTATAATACAGGTGCCGAATATTAGAGGTGTTATCAGAGGGTAACATCCAAAGAATCGAAAGAGAAGAGATAAGGGCGATAGATGCCTGATTGGAGAGAAGAAGCAAGCCAAAACCGCACCAGAGCACCCACCAACCACAAACAACGTCCATTTCCAAGAGGAAAAAAAGCCTTCAGTGTTTTCTACTTCTTTCTCGGTTCCTGACAAGGAAAGAAGGGTGTTAGTGCTAGGGTTTAGGAGAAAGATTTTGTCTCCAGATGTTCCCCTGTTTCAGATCAAATTGATGGTCCGGTCGCAAAGATGGGAATTCCCTTAAAACTAATCAAAACACCAAAGTCTCCGGCTATGGACTCGAACCCGGATCGTGTGCCATGTAGTTCAGGATAATACCAACAGAACCAGATGTTCCAGCATGCACGCACAAATATCATTATGGTGTACCATTGTCTTGGTGAGCCGAAAGAGAGCAAAC